CAGTTCACCATGCGCTGTACCAACAGTTTGGAGTATACAGCTTCATCTGCAAGTTCAAACCTCCAAGCTCCACGAGTTTTGCGCACGCCCCAACTTGCATGGGAGTGAGTATTGACGCAGCTGATTCCCAAAACCTCAAAAAAATTTTGGTGAAGCTTTGAGTTTGGTGGCTTTCGGAAAACTCCACCATTCATGCACGTGTCAAACGTAATGCTGATACTCCAAATCGTCTTGTTGCTTGTCCAATGCTGCCAACAAAGCCCAAAGCCATGAGCGCTCAGGGTTTTCGACTGAAAGAAAAATATTCAGTAAGAAGCAAGAATAGAGTAAAACTTCAGCCGTGATGTAAACTTGATTTGCAGCATGAACACGCTTCGATCCAGCTTCAACCAAATGTGGAAACCCAAACAAGTAATCAGGGCCTCGGGGTGAACGCGGGTTTGGCGCCCCAACCTCACGGCGCGCCTGACTGACAGGCCGTTCCCTGGCTTTAAAGCATGTGCCACATGGAAGGCCCATGTGACACCACGTAGGCCACACGGTTTCAAAAAGAGTTGGCAAAAGTTGCCTGGCACCATGATGTACTAAGTCAATGACCACAATGGCTACTGCAGCACGAAACCTGTTGTGTGATCGATCAATGAGCGTATCTCGTTGCGTCTCATAGGTAAGTGGCTGCACTCTATGTAGACAAAGACAATCACGATAGCAGCTGTCAAACCTGATGTAACGGAATCCAAGCAAACGCAAACACGATGTGCCAAAACGAAAGGTTCGGCCATTCGAACCTGGTACACGACGTGTACTAGCTCCGAACGATCGAACCCAGACATCACTCTAAATTGCCTGAGCAAATTTTTTTCCTGATTAAGGATGGCTTGGGAGCTCTTTTGTCGGCTACATGTACCATTGTTAAAGTGCACCAAATGATCTTTCCAGCATCCGCTATGCAGACACAGTTGTGTTGCATAGAATTCAATAGATTTTTCACTGTCTTGCCACCACGCTTAGAGTCTGCCACTGCTAGTTCTTAGGAAGAAGTTCAGGTCCCCTCGCATCAGCTATGAGCCTCTTAGGCGCTTGAGCATTTTGCTTCGTTGCCACAGGCTGAGGTTTGGAAAGCGTTCCAGCTGTGGATCCAGGCAAAAGAGATGCGAAGCAGAAGACCTGTGGCGATGTATGCAACTTGACAATCAGTCTATCCAAATGAGGCTCGGCACCTGCAAAATAAAATTTTAAAATCCCACAGCTGTCTCGGAATATTAATGACCAAAGTTCACGGTCTGCACTGAGCACCTGCTGCATCGTCACACTCTGGAGGCCACTGGGTTACACCCTCATGGTTGCATTCATCATCTGGTTGTACCACTCTTCCAATCTGGTAAATGAACCTAGCCCAGCTTGGTCACACGCCATGGCCTCTCGTGTGAGGGCCTGTCGAAGTTTCAGTTCTCCTGATGCGTCGCAGGGCAATTCAGAAGCTTGTTCGATGAACGTCGTGTTCCCCTGGAAGTCAAAGCTGACTTGTTGCCCAATCTTCAATTTCAACTGCACAGCCATATTCCAACTTGCAAAAACCATAGAGACCATCGGCATCCTACTTCCCAGTTGTTTCATTCACGACCCCTACCTCCAGAGCCCTTTCACTGACGCTAGGTTTGGATTCCATAGGTCACCGCGTGCGCGCGTGTCGTTATTGAAGGAAGATGCACATCCAAAGCTTGGTGAAACACTGGTGATTAATCAAAGAAGTTGGGCCACAGAGCCACATGTTTTGTGTTCAGGGTATAATTGAGTCAAAACCTCTTCACCAGTCAAGTGAAGAACTTGCTGCGAGTATAAATCACCAACTCATAAAAGAGTTGCTTCTCAATTGTGCCACATTTTTTGATTCAATAGCCTCACCTTGGATAAATTCCTCCAAGCCAAAAAGGGCTGGTTTGTCCACACATATCAAATGGACGTCCCAACACTCAAATGAAATGTGTAAATCACGGCAACTCGATTCTGAAAACAACCCCACACATGTGTGCAATTGCAATACTCGTACCTGAACCTCAGAGTGTGATCTTGCATGGAAGAATGATGGCAAGTGTTCGACGCTTAAATTTCCAAGCATCAATCAAATTTAAATTTCCACGCCATCACTTTACTCTGTTGAGAAAATAAACACAACAAGACTGGTTTGAAAACTTATCACGTTCAATCTGGGCTGCACAAACTCACGCAAACCCTATTTTCCATTGGACAGAAGTCCTTATCAGCCGCTCACAGCCCTGCATTGTTCGCAGAACTCCATCCGGCCAGGAGCACCAAAAGAATAGCCCTTGGAGACACATTGCAAGTGATTCGCCTGCCGTAAGCCCGTTTCTCAACATCTGAAATCATTTGAACGATCACCGACAGTCGGCACCGGACATGACACCAAAGGGCAATATCAGGAAAGGGATGGCTTTCATGTGCAATTTTCCCACCTGACATATCACTTGGAGACCATCAACCGCCTCCGCGTCATCCACGTCATAGCCAACCATGTTAACCGCAAATTGCAGCCCTCCATCACCCAGTCTGCTTCCAGTCTCTCAGCTAAGAACCACTTGCCCTCAAAGAGCCCGCCACTGGTCAGTCGGCTGGGCTTGTCCTCAACCATCTGAGCCACATGGCAGAAAGCAAGCTTGTTAAAGCTTCCAAGCACAAGCAATCCGAAGGAGTCCACAGGTTTTGCATGATTCCAAAACTGTCTGCATGGCACTTCACCCCAGGGCATCCTGAGCGATTCCTTCCGTTGCAACCATGAGACAGCATTAACAACCTGAAGCTCCAATCTATTGCCAGCGTCAAATCCCATGTTGCATCCATCGACGAGTGTGCCAACCACAGCAGAAAAAGCAGGCTGAGCTCCATAAATTGCACCAACATTGAAACCCAGCCAATAAGCATCACCTGCAGAATCAGACTTCCTGTGTTTGGAATGTTCCTGCATAGCACTTGGCTCGTCCCAAAATTTAGTGATACCTGTCGAAATGCCCGCACTGTTTTGCAGTTGAGAATCTTTTGAATCACCTGTTAGATCATCATCATCCCCTTCCATTTGAAAGAAGTCCCAGTCAGCTTCCGTCGTCCCCCCCGCATCTTGAAGCGGAGAAGGTGTAAAATGGACATCACTGCGGCCAGAAGTAGCCATAAAACCAATGTTGCATTGAAATTGAATCCATTGCACCAGACCGGGGCCAGAATTAGGCATAAAATCCAGACTGCACTGAAAATGAATCCATTGCCCAAGACCACACTCTGTGATCCATCCCTTATCAACCATGTCGGCATAAGCGTCAAGATTGCTAGTACCAACTGTGATACGAGCATACATGCTGCTGGTGAGGGGAGGTTTTGCAACAAAGATTGTTGCAACCAGGCACAGGACATAGAAAACAGCACCCTTGTGGAGGACCTGGTGGTGTGGCTGGTGCTGGTATGGCTGGCGCTGGGGTCGACGCGGCAGCTTCATGTGAGGAGGCTGCCGATGTAACCATTGGATCACCTGATCTGCCAGTTTCAGCATCCACCTCAGGATCACCGATGTCTGCCGACACCGTGAGGGGGATGCCAAGACGTTTGGCCAGCTCGCACAAGATCGCGAGGGCAAAAGCCACCAACTGCTGTGTTGATAGTGATGGCACCTGGCGAAGATCCATTGAGCGCCCCCAGCTGAACGAAAATCACCTTTGGATTTGCTGAAATTCTTGCAGCCAAAATATCACCGCATTCCAGAGTTTCAAAGACAAACGTTCAGCCCACAAAACAAGTTAATATACAAGGTTGTTTGAAAGATTTGTCTTGATCGCTCTGTTTCACCAAACAGGTAAGGCGGAGTTTATGTCAAACCTCCGAGATACGGCAATTAAAAATGGAATTCGGGTACATATATATATATATATATGTATATATTTATTTAGTATGCCGCAATGATCGTCGATACGCTCGGTTGTTCGAAACATTGGCTCGCAGAAAACGTGAGATCCAAAAACCCCTGCAGTGACAAACTTGTTACACTTCTCGTCTTGAAAAACATACTGGTGCAGTCTCGTAAAAAGGAAAAACAAAACAGCTTCAGTGATAACACTCAGCAGCGCCATTTTGACAGCGGGGGTGAAAACCACATGTGAGTTGCCAGTTACGCACTGGAGTTGACGACGGCTAAGGGGTAGGCCGTCAGAATGGTCAACGCGTAACTGGATAAAAGAGATAGGAGAAGAACGGAAGTGACGGTATCAAAAAGGGTGGGGAAGAGAAAGGGAGGGCTGAGAAAGTGAACTTGTTTGAAATGAAAACAAGTTTTATTGCCCGCCTCACCACAACCCTTGATACGAAAAAGTCACAGCACAAGATATGTGTTTATCCAGTGAAGTGAATGCAAAGGTTTCATTGCATGAACGATTTGATACAGATTCCGATTCCGTTGTACTTCCGTTCTTACTTGTTCTAGTTTGAACATCGGAGGAAAACTCTCAAGTCTGTTTGGGTTTTAATAAGGACGTGTTGTTGGTTAACACTCAGGAAAGAAAATTCCAGAGAGCTTCCGCGATAGACAGTTTGGTGAAACTACGCTCCGCAGAGCCTCCGCCGAGCTTCCAAGACATGGCTGTCATTTCATGAACGCCTTCGTCTTGATCGCTCTGTTTCACCAAACAGGTAAGGCGGAGTTTATGTCAAACCTCCGAGATACGGCAATTAAAAATGGAATTCGAGGTACATATATATATATATATATGTATATTTATTTAGTATGCCGCAATGATCGTCGATACGCTCGGTTGTTCGAAACATTGGCTCGCAGAAAACGTGAGATCCAAAAACCCCTGCAGTGACAAACTTGTTACACTTCTCGTCTTGAAAAACATACTGGTGCAGTCTCGTAAAAACGAAAAACAAAACAGCTTCAGTGATAACACTCAGCAGCGCCATTTTGACAGCAGGGGTGAAAACCACATGTGAGTTGCCAGTTACGCACTGGAGTTGACCCCCTTAGAAAGTGCGTTCAACGAGGCATATGGTTCCCGGTGCATCAACAGTATGGCTTCGATCACACTGTCCGGGATCTGTAGTACCCCGCTCTCGGAAGCTCCTAAGAGTTTGGCTGCTTCTTTGACTCGTTTACGAGAAGGCATGTCACTAGGGTTGCTGAAGGAGGAAACACGTTCGAGCCACACCGAGGAAGGCAGTTCAAGCTCAAGCTGTTGGAGGACACGGCTCATAGCTAGCAAGCTGAATGAATCTGACGACCCTTTGATTGCCACGAACCTGGCGGCTTCGTTGTCGATCCACGCAATGCCTACCTTGTTGAACAAAGCTTGGCGGCAGTGGAAGCGAACAGCCAAATAAACAAAGAACTCAATCTGCGATATCAACTGTTCTCCCACTTCCTCAAGCCATTTGTCTATCAGCTTCAAAGGAATCTCTACGGCAAAGACCTTTGACTCTCCAGTCTGAGGATTGTAAGTTACTGCTCCACCGGATGCTCTTCCATCCTCCCAAGCGCCATCTGTAAAAATGAGAAAAGGGTTTCTGAAAGATTCCGATCGATACTGCCGCGGAGGCATCGCCTTCAGCATAGTCACTGCCAAATCGCAAAGTCTTTGAAGGTCGCCGCTTCCAAGCGATCTAGGTATGTCTGCCAGCCGTGCAAAAGAAGACACCAAAAATCGCAGCGCTTTGGACACAAAGAAACCACTCGCAAAGTTCAGATGACCCTGTATTTGCGCAGCCTCAGATCGCGTGATGACTCCACGACCTTTGACCGCTTCCAGCATGGCGCATAGGCGCTCGATACGGCCTTCCTTGTTGCACAAAATGAAGACTCCCCTGTTAAGGCTGTCCAGCTGCACCGAAATTCCAAGAGCGTTGAAGGCTGAAGAAAAATCTGCTGCTTTAACACCCACCTTGGCATGGTCCCATCCAAGTAGCGTGAGCATGGCACTCATTGCCTTTGAAAGGATTGCTGACGATGCGTTTGGACTGATAGTTGGATAATCATCATAAAAGCAAGTGCAAGGCCCCCAAAGCAATTTGCATATCAAGTGGTGCAGTGAGCGAGAAACGCGGTTGAAGCTGTAGACTGCTGCCACAGCACCAAAAGGAAGCACATCGCATCTGAAGAAAACCCAGCGGTTGCGATGATAGTAGCCCACGACACTCAAGAGTCTCGAGGCCTTATCCACCGCTAGCTGCTTGTAAGCTCGCGACAAGTCCAGGGTCCTCCCGCACCAGGTGTCGCTGGCAACCTCCGGGTGCACTGGCACTGTGCACGTTGTATCATCTTCCATGTCGAAACTCACCTTTCCAAGTTGCAAGCTGTCGGCCACTGATGCGACCAATGCTGCAAGCGTGTCAACGTCGTACAGCTCAAGCTTGAAGTTGGTAGTGTACGCAAGGTTCAAGGAGGATCTCTTGCCATCATCAATGGCGCGTATCTTGCCCTCAGCTCCTTGGTAGAGGGCAAAGCGAGGGTTGAAAAGCCACTTGTCCGACCCAAAGTGAGCCGTGACTTCCTCCTCCGAAAGAGGCCCATGCAAATGCCCCAGTTCAACCTCCTTCATGGTTGCTTCATGAAGGTCGTCCTGCACTCCGTCTTCCATCTTAGAGTTTTCAGCCCCCATCAAAGCCTTTCTCCGCCAGATAGAAGATTCCAATAACTCATCAACTGAAATCAGTGAGGGCCTCCAATCGTCTGGGAAATTCGGCGGCTTTGTATGGCTGCCATAAAGTGGAATCCCATCGGTGACCAGGTCAACTACCTGCATGTCTGCAAAACCTGTAGTTTCCAACAAGTGCTTCCACAAACACAACCGCTTGTTGGCCAAAACATGAGCAGTCTGCCGATCCATGGACGCTTTCAACTGTTGTTCTTCTGCCGCTAGCTCGGAAGCTTTCCTATGAAGAGCCAAAACCACACTCAGTCGATGCTTAGCCACTTCGACTGGACTGGAACTCATGACATGTATCACAGCCTCTTTCAAAACGAGCGGTAAAGCTTTTTGTGGATCTTTTGGATGCAGAACTGCTTTTGCCTCCTCAAAGAACTCTTCGGGTTTCCACTGGATACCGTATTTGAAAGTTCTCCTGACCCTCTTGTGTTCGGACTCCAGCTGTCCCTTGTTCTCGGAAAGCAACTCTGTAGGTTGTACCCCCGTAGGTGGAGTTGCCAAAAGTTTGTATCCCTGTTGGGGATCTTCTACATCAGAATGATGAAAACCCCTTTGAACTCTGGAATGAGGGGTTTGGCTTTGGAGGTCTGGACCCCCCATGCATGTCTTGCCTTTTGAGCCGAAGAGAGATGGGGCCCCAAGCGCAAGTGCCGCTGTTCTGCCTGTCTTTTCAGGCAAGCTGCCATACGAGTGCATAGGACTCGTGGGTATTCTGCCTCCAGAGCTGTTGCAAACTCCAAACCAGACCCTCTTTGGACCACAAACCAAGGTTTGTGCTGATGACTGTTGTCGCATTCTGCCGATAGTTCATCATAAAGGCCTTGTGACGCCAACAATCGCGTCCTTTTGTTGCGCTCTCCCCCATGCATACACGCATGGAAGTCTGTAGAAGTCAGGGCTGCATACCATTTGGTGAACTCTGGATTGTTGATGGCTGCAACCAACCTAGTCAGAATTCCCCACAGCCAGCTTCTGGCGGGATTTTCGACCGACACCAAAATGTCAAGTTCGAAGCAAAGAAACAATAATTGCACTCCAAAATAATACAAAGTGTTTGCTGCTTGAACTTTGGCCAGGTTTGTGCCAACAAGTCCTGGCATGCCCATCAAGTGCTCGGCCGATCGAAGCGGTGGAGGTGCGCTATGCTGGCTCCTTAAATGCTCTGGCAGTTCACGTTCCCTTGCACGAGAACAGGTCCCGCATGGGAGACCCAAATGAATACTCAAAGGTCGAAGTTGTCGAACCATGTTTAAAGCAGTCTGTTGAGAGTGCTCCTGGGTGAGATCTGCTAAAATCAAAGCGACCTTAGGTCGATGGCGATTATGCTCGTGGTCAATGCTGTATGTAGTGAACCCTGCTTCACGCATGGCTGATGACAAGTTACCTGACCCAGCACAAAATTCAATAAATACTGCATTGCGTTCAGTGATACTTGATGCCAACTCAGGTCAGGAGCTTCCAACATGAGAGCACTCATGAAAAGGAAATGGACGGTTGCAATTCACCTTCCAACATACGTGATACCCGTGCACGCACCTTTTGCCTGCTTTGATGTTTGCTCGACACGCACCAACATTGAACTTCATACAAATCGGCTTGTTCTTGTTCTCCCCAAACTTAATGGCGCACCCATCAGGAACCTGGATACGTCCTTTGCCTTGCTCTTTGCCGCCAGCCTTGCCTTTGCCCTTCTGCTCCGGAGGGCTTGCCCGGTTTTGCTGGTATGGCTGAAACCTCTGGTTGGATGAGGAAGCCTGTGAACTGTCGCGCAACGGCAATGGCAGCATGTGGAACTGGACATCTGGGTGATGCGATAATTCCTTCAAAGCAGCATCAACATTCTTGACTCCATCCGCTGTCACACCTGTCACTCGTGAGCGTGTCTGTTCAGCCACTTTCACCCACAACTTGCGATCAGCTTGAATGATCTGATCGGCGGAAATGTGTCGATATCCTGTTGGTGGTTCCTGACATACGCGATCGAAAAGCAGCTGTGACCATGACTCCATGACTTCAAATGATGCAACATTTGCCAGGTCATATGCCAGACTCCTCCGGGTGAAGGCTGCACGGAGCCTGATCTCTCCTGTGATTGAGCACTCTGTAACAGCACTCTGTAACAGCACTCTGCTTTGATACCTTAATGTTTCCCTGAGCATCGAAGGAAAGCTGTGATGTAGTGCGCTCACTCTTGATCTCCTGTTCCCGTGAAGTACACTTGTTTAATTCCACAAGTTTAATGCAGTTCTCCTCATACTGATGCACCACTCGGTCGATGAGCTCGTGACTTGGTTCCATGGAAGTGCTGAGCATGACACCAGGGAATTTTCGCCTCAAAGCCTCCAATCGTTGAACCTTTTCTGCCAGTGGCAAGATTTTTAACTCAGATGCATCGCTACGATCTAACCTGCTCTGTAAGTCCTTCAGTGCCAATGCATGACTCTCAAAGAAAAGCCGTCTATAGTTAGACGCATCAGCTCCAGTTGGCTTTGCTCCCAGGACGGATTCCAAATAATCAAAAAGGACGTCCTCGTTTCCACTCCCTGGCTGATATGCACAGCAGAAAGCATATCGAGAGTAGCTGTTGATTCCACCTGTCTTCAACGTCTGTAAATCTGCAGAAGTAATGCCAACTTCCAGAGCTCTCGACTGAAATGCTGCCTCTGACTCAAGAGCCATTGCTCGCACAGAGACGGTGAGATGAAATGAAGTAATCCAGTGATGTTGCTAGGATTGTGATCTATCTGTAAACTAGGCCAATGGTGGCTAGATGACGGAGGGTGAGTTCCAAGACAGTCGCACCCTTGCAAGTCAATACATCTGTACCAAAGTCGAAACCGTTTATGAGATTTCTTAAATTATCTTGTTACATAAGAAGATGCTAGTGTGTGCAGTGAACAATGTCGGTCCCTAGGCTTGCTGTTTCGACGTTTCGCTCAGAATGAAGTCAACCTGAAGCCAAGGCAACAATCATGATGCGGGGATCTCAAATGTTTGCGTTGCTAGCCCACTCAAAAATGGTTGGAGAGGACTGCATAACGACAAAACAGCACCCCCGCATGCCAGCATGTCTGAGTGCTGGCTTGACTGTTCATGACGCCTTGCAGTTGATGTAATGAGAGTAAAATGAGCGAGACAACAGCATAATTGGGACTTGAAATCACCTGCACTTTCAGCACCCTTTTTTATGTCAGCCCTGCCTCCGTCTATGCCGTTTGGCTATGGGAGGTTGGAACGCACATCTTCTTCAAAGAGTGAATCCCTTTTCAACACTGAGTTACATTGAATGCACATCAGCCCAGTCTTCATCTATGCAATCCCCACATCGGTGCTAACAAGGTTAACTGTACTTGCTCTGCCACACAACAAGCGCTGTTCGGCCTCTTCCACAGTGTCGTGTGCTGCATGGACCACCCCAGTGAAAGAATGGATATACCATGATACATCTATTGCATCGTGGGGGACTGGATCCCGAAGAGCTGCTATGGAGTCATCAGGTCCATTTTGAAAGTCACCAACATCGTCAGTGTCAACGTCCTGACTGCTTTCATCAGACAGCTCCAGCTCAGGCTCCTGCCAAGTTTGTGCCAGGTTCTCATCCAAGGGTTTGTCTGCTTGGCGCACCAGCATGCTCAAACGCTCAGCCCTGCTAACGTCAGGTTTCAGCCTTTCAGAACGTAGCAGGTTAATAAGTTCCAGCACCTTGTACCGTAGAAAAATCTGTGAATCCCTGCTGTATGTTGTACTAGACTTTGTTTGAAGTTCCACGTGATGCCCTAACAACGTCCTCTCTTCCCGAGTGAATAAGGTGCACATGCCAGCCCATGTCAAAAGAGTACACTTGCAGCTGTGGCTTGAAAACCCCTCTGAATCTGGAACATGGGCTGCAAATAGGAGCTCTCGAATCCAGCAAGTCGCTTCACCTGAAGACATGGGATAAGCTGACAAAGTCTGTGCCACCTCATTCCAGGACGGTAGGAAGATTTTCTTATCATCCAGTCCAGCATCTGTCGCATCAAACCAACGAATGCAGGCAAATATGCAAAACAAAATTGTGACGCAAATGACTCGCACATGCACTCTGGAATCTCCGTTGCACAAGCTCTCAGAGACTCCTGCAGCCTCCACGGTGAAAGCACGAGCCTGTTGAAGCTTCCTCTTCTGAAGGAACAAGTTGTGAGCAGCTCCAGTGACCCTTGAGGTAATTACGGAGTGTGAATTCATCTTTAAAAGTTTGAACACCTGTCCACTGAATCTGAGTGCCTCCACAAAGTGACTTGCAGCTGTAGGAGCAGCACCACTGTCACGCAAGTGATTCATGTACTTATACAGTGTATCCTCGGTCTGGTCAAAACATGTGCCCCTGCCTGTAGCTGCAATCCAACTGGCCCATCGCCACAACATTGACGATCTTTTCAAAAGAGTCCCAGTGGCTTTGCTAAAAAGGGCATCTGACAAAACTTGCAAAACATCGGTGCTTGTGTCATGGGCTCCAACGCAGTCCAACATCGATTTTCCAATGCCAGTTGCATGCAAGTCCAAACCGACCAAAACTCTGAAACAGTTCAAAGCTCGAGACCTCAACTCGTCATCCTGAATGTTGTATGAGGTGCATGCAATGCGTTTCCTGACATGCTGAAATGAAACCTGCAGATCATGAGATTCAGGCACTGATGCTTGAGCTTTTGCTTGAGGATTCAAAACATCTGACAAGCTAAGGTTTGGAGATCTGATTTCAAGACGCTTTGCAAGACTGTCAGGAGTGAACACCGGTGCAAGGTGTCCTGTCTCCCAGGGCAGCTTCACTCGCTTTGAGGAACGCAAAACAGAAAGTGCTGTAGCAACTCCAGTATTGTTGAACATGTTTCTGTGACACATGTTGCAAAGAAAGAACAGTCTGAGAGCTGCTAACATTCTGAGCGTCCCCAATGTGTAAAACCACTGTCAACATCTGCAATTCCAAAGGCAGCCCCAGCAGGTTCGGACTCGAAGGGAGGCGTCGAAGGGCTGTCAACGCTGCTCAATGGTGCAGCCGCCCATCGCTTGCGAAAGCCCCGTAAGTCCATATGCTGTCGGACCCTAAAATTGGAAAAAGCAAATTAAGACAATAAAAACGAAACAAAATGTTGTTGAAACAAGCTGACAGGAGGTGACCCCCCGAAACGCTGAGAAAGTGAACTTGTTTGAAATGAAAACAAGTTTTATTGCCCGCCTCACCACAACCCTTGATACGAAAAAGTCACAGCACAAGATATGTGTTTATCCAGTGAAGTGAATGCAAAGGTTTCATTGCATGAACGATTTGATACAGATTCCGTTGTACTTCCGTTCTTACTTGTTCTAGTTTGAACATCGGAGGAAAACTCTCAAGTCTGTTTGAGTTTTAATAAGGACGTGTTGTTGGTTAACACTCAGGAAAGAAAATTCCAGAGAGCTTCCGCGATAGACAGTTTGGTGAAACTACGCTCCGCAGAGCCTCCGCCGAGCTTCCAAGACATGGCTGTCATTTCATGAACGCCTTCGTCTTTCCAAACATATGACATCGTCAAAGTAGAGAGTGATATATACAATTGGAATTCATATCATAAAAAGTTCCAACAGATGACATCGTCAAAGTGGAGAGCGATATATACAACTGGAATTCATCTCATAAAAAGTTTCACATTGTCAAACGTTGCGTGAAGTAAAGTTTCATCAAGCAACATTCAAACGCATGTTCCGACAGGCAACCGCGGCGTAAGCGCTTGACATATATTCTGACAAAGCGCAACCAGCCACGCAAAACAAACATCAAAGTGCCGTGGCGCCCAACACGCGTGCGTTGCGCATGCTTCACCAGGGTCACAAAAACAGCGGGATCTGCAAGCAGAACCCTTACCTTTTTGGCACAGCAGCTCTGCGACTTCAGGCAAGTCCCAAATGCTTGCCGGGATTTGTCCCGCTGTCACCCCTAACTGTTCGGGATGTTCCAGAAAGAAATGGCCTCCGTGGGCTAGCACCACCGCACAGCCGTGCAAAGATTTCTGCACCAGCTCATCCGCCAGGCGCACCTTTTCCATATTGGCTTGGCTCAGCCATGGAAATCCATGGGGAAAGTTGTAGTTTCTAAGAGGCCGTGGCCCACCATGTTGTCTGTACTGGCACCTGGCGCGACTGTGCGTGTTGCAAGGCGGTGCCACCAAAAATAAATCCACCAAACCAGACTGCAGCTGCTGTGAAACCCAATTCCAGACCTCCTCCTTATGGAGGTTGTGCCCTTCATTGCGAAGGATGTCCAGCTGTAAAATCTTGAGGGTATAGCCATCCCGCTTTGCCAGCTCTTCTAAATAATGTCGAACATCTGCACGCCGCTCGACACCTGCAAAGAGATACAGCACATGCACTGTAGGGGAGTCCTTGCCACCCTCGTGCCAAGTCTCCCAGGTGAGACCGCTGTCGTTGACCTCCGGTTGTTAGTGGTTAGGCCCTTGGCCCGCGACTTGTCCTGTGCTCGTCTCCGTGACGGTTATGCTTCGGGGAGAGGCAAAATTGGCAAACATGCCCTCTCCCACAATTGCCCCTGCTTCTGGCTGCTGTAAGAATAGCAAATCTGACGCCCATCCGGTGTTGTGGAGTAGACAAAGCCTGCTTTGGAGTCTGCTCCCAGTCGTCCTTTGCGTGATTTTCCTTTTCCTCCAAAGGCGTCACGAAAAAGGTCTCCTTCAGAGTTGCGTCAGCCATGACCTCCTCCATAGTCACTGCCAGGGGTCTTCCCTCGCGCGAGGTTCTGCGATATGCCTCCTTCCTCAACTTGTGCTCGAAGTTGATCATAAGGTCCCAACTGGGGTTGGCGGCCATGGTCTGAGCTGACCCGTCACCCTTGGGGATCTGTAGCTGAAAGATCTTTTCTCCCAGGAGGAAATCCACATAGCGCTGAAAGGTCTTTGTAGACAAATCTTGAAACCAAGTCTTGTTTCTGAACTTGGCTGCCAGCATGAGCATGGTGTTGCACTCGGATCTTGATCTTCGCACGCGTAACTCTTCAGAGTTGACAGGCATCTTGGCCTTTTTCTTCTCCTTGATGATCCTCAGGCGTCCACCTGAGTCCAAACTGCTTTGGAGTTACCCGTGAAGATCATCCTTCACACACCCCACCTCATGCAGGGTGCTTGCCAGTAGATCGCCGCCTTCCACCTCCTCCAGCTTGACCGCCAGGTAATCTGGCGACGGCTCATCCTTTTCATCCATCGCCCCCAACAGGCGCTCCACGGCCACCCTCATAGCGTCAGACAGCGTCCACAGTCCGAGACAACACACAAGAAGCTTGGACCAAAACCTGACACCAGATCCAAGAGGCACAAACCACAAATGGCAAACACAAACCATGAGATATAATAGGGAGACCTCAGATTCTTTCGTCTTATTTAAACTCAGTTCCTTCGATATGACATATGATTGGCCAAACAGTGTGAAGCTGCCTCAGATAAGTCGCCGCGTTGTTTATCGCTTGGGGATACGCATAAACTGTTCAAGGTGGACATTCATTACATATAGTTATATCTCATACACGTAGATAAAACATGACAAAGCAACAAAATAACAACAGCATATGTATATACATGTAAGTATATATATACATAAATCAACGCAAAATGATTAGATCAAACTCGCAATCAAATCAAATGTTTCTCAACTGTTTGAGTCCCCTTCCACTGATTCCGATCGCGCTTTAAATAATCTCTTTCTCTTTAAAATTTTTCATTGCTGGATATTTGTATCAGCCTGAGTCACCTGTGTTTTCAGGTGTACTATATCCATCTGTATCAGTGGATTTTTATCTCACCCATTGGTGTTCAATGGCGAGATCGCTACATGAAACGTAAACGCAGGAATGGGCACGGATGTTCGGATGCATGGACGGATGCAGCTCGAATGTGCATAGGAAGGCCATGCAAGCAAATCAATGGTCAAGAATACGAAGGTCTGCGGCAACCTTATCCTCAGAAGCGCAAAACCAAAAGTTTTGTTCCCCACCTGCCAGGTGAGGGTTGTTAGATTTTATGTCAGTTCCCTGCTCCTCCTCTCCTCTCCTCATCTCCTCTCCTCCTCCTCGTCGTCCTCCTCGTCCAACTGCGACCCGCGATCCACAGTGTTCTCTGTCGGACCTGAACCACGACCATCCACGCCCAGTGTTCCCTGCCGGACCTCAACCGCGAGGATCCATGCCAAGTGTTCCCTGCCGGACCTCAACCACGACCATCCACGCCCAGTGTTCCCTTCCGGACCTCAACCGCGAGTATCCACGCCAAGTGTTCTCCCTCATGTAGGAAGATAAAATGTCAGATAGAGTGCCAGAAGATTTGCCAGGTAGAATGCCAGAAAATATGCCAGAAGATATGTCAGATAGATATGCCAGAAGATATTCCAGAAGATATGCCAGATAGAATGCCAGATAGAATGCCAGATAGAATGCCAGAAGATATGTCAGAATATATGCCAGAAGATATGCCAGATAGAATGCCAGATAGAATGCCAGAAGATATGTCAGATAGAATGCCAGAAGATATGCCAGATAGAATGCCAGAAGATTTGCCAGATAGGATGCCAGAAGATATGCCAGAATATGCCAGATAGAATGCCAAATAGAATGTCAGAAGATATGTCAGATAGAATGCCAGAAGATGTGCCAGTAAGAACATGTATAAATGTCATGGTGGGGATCACACGATGTAAAGTAATTTTTTTACCAGGATAAAAGCAACGAATGTGGAAGCTGATGATCTACGGAATCGGCGAATGCAAGAAGTCGAAGCCGCAACTCTACAGGGTGTGAAAAGGAGCAAACAATATCAGTGGCGTGGTGGGTGGGGAAACAATTTACAGCACAAATAAATGCTATATGCAATGAATGCCACCTTGAGCCAAAATGTTTAGGGGACATTAGATATAATGAAGTACCCCCACTAAACAAAACTGAAGAAGTACAGTTAACGTTCAAGGTGGACATTCATTACATATAGTTATATCTCATACACGTAGATAAAACATGACAAAGCAACAAAATAACAACAGCATATGTATATACATGTAAGTATATATATACATAAATCAACGCAAAATGATTAGATCAAACTCGCAATCAAATCAAATGTTTCTCAACTGTTTGAGTCCCCTTCCACTGATTCCGATCGCGCTTTAAATAATCTCTTTATTTTTTCATTGCTGGATATTTGTATCAGCCTGAGTCACCTGTGTTTTCAGGTGTACTATATCCATCTGTATCAATGGATCTTTATCTCACCCAAATCAACGCTATTGATACCAGATGGTATATTATTCCCCACTTATTTAGTCCTGGGAAAACCGTGGGTCCTAAGCGCGTTGTGCAGAGTCCCCAAAAATAAAACTCAACACATATTCTACAACGCCGAGCCCTAACACGCCTGCCACAAAACAAGCTGCCACGCGAGGCCACAAAAAATTGCCTCCTTCAACTGTTCTCCAAACTGCTGAAACTTCTGATTCAAAAATTACCGAATGCAAACGACATGAATGAAATGTGGTTTGGATGTCTCTGTCGCGCCACTCTCTTTTTCACTGGAGCAATGGGGAAGTCTCTTGTCAGCTGCCGCAACATCGACGGCTGGGTGAGGCATGACGGACAATGGACTCGCCGTTGTCCTGTCTTGGTGGTAAGGTAGTTGCATCGTCAGTGATGCGTTCAAAGTGCTCACGTTGAGCTGCATAGCAGGTGAGGGACACTGCTGTCTGATCAGCTTTGGCCAACAAACTCTAAATACCTTCATCACTCCAAAGCCATTTTTTCACATTGTAAATGATCAGTAATGGCAAATTTTGATTGATGATGCCAAAACGTGTGGCATCAAAATTCTCCTATACCAAGTCCTAAGTCTGAAACTCAATTATGCAGTCCCCCAAACGCGCGCAACTAACCTACGCATCCTACAAACCAAAAACCCAAATATCAAGCCAACATCCAAAAAGACTCAAACAATAAGACTCGGTCACAGCACAAAATAAACCAAATAATCTAACATGTGAAACCGAATGATCGCCGACGGAAATCACGCTGGTTGTTTTGCTCGCCGTTGCTTTGCAATGGTCTGGGGTCGAAAACGCTAGACCCAGGTGACCATAGGGTTGGAGAAACAGTTAGGGATTGGTCCATTCTGGCAACATCAGTTGACCTTTCAAGTTTGAAAGTTGGGAATGCTTTCCAGCTGGACTGATTTCCCTCAACCCCCCCTTGCCAAGGGCAGTTTTTGGGTGGGAAAAAGAACAGGGTGGGACAAAAATGGTCCATGGCAAGATAAGGACGGAACCCGCCCACCCAACCCTTAAACAAGGATGGCCACACAAATATAAAATGAATTCGTTTCATGGGTCATTAAAGATTTGCATGACAAAAATTTCAGCGTGGTAGATTCACCTGAAAAATAAATCAGAGTCAAACACATCTTAAAATCAAGGTTTTCAAGAATTTAAACAATTGGCAGTTTGGTTGAGTTTGGGTTTGCGACGCAACAGTTCAGGTTGTGTCGTTTAGATTGCGGTTTGTCAGGTTACGCAGGTTACGCCAGTTACGCGCAGGGGAAAAGGGAAAGCGCAAAGAGTTACAGACCGGACTAACTCAATTATGCAGTCCCCCAAACGCGCGCAACTAACCTACGCATCCTACAAACCAAAAACCCAAATATCAAGCCAACATCCAAAAAGACTCAAACAATAAAACTCGGTCACAGCACAAAATAAACCAAATAAACTAACATGTGAAACCGAATGATCGCCGACGGAAATCACGCTGGTTGTTTTGCTCGCCGTTGCTTTGCAATGGTCTGGGGTCGAAAACGCTAGACCCAGGTGACCATAGGGTTGGAGAAACAGTTAGGGATTGGTCCATTCTGGCAACATCAGTTGACCTTTCAAGTTTGAAAGTTGGGAATGCTTTCCAGCTGGACTGATTTCCCTCAACCCCATTTTTCTCACAGGCCAGCCAAAAAACGCTTCAGCAGCTCGTCAGGATGTTTCAAAGGTGTTTCACTTTGTAAACTCAAAAGACTCAAAGCCTCTTCGCAACAATGTCTCGACGGTCCGTCTGGGATGTTGGGGCTCGAAGGAACACGCTCGACCCGGCTGTAAGTAGGAGCTGAAGCATCAATTGAGTAGAACTCCCGGAATAAGCTGCGCATCGCTTTGCTAGGGCTCAAACCTTTCATGGCGCAGTAGCGCGCCACATCGTTGTCAACCCACCAGACGGAGTGTCTTCCTCGAAGAAGCTCTTGGAATTGCCACCTGATGAGCACCCTCACGTACTGTTCGATCTGGCATATGATGTACTCACCTATCTGCGCCTTCCAAAGCTCAAGCAGCTGCTTCGGGGCGGTCCCAAAAAACAAAACTTGCACTGCACTGCTAGCGGTATCCACTATAACCGCCCCGATGCCAGCAAATACCTTCTCCCAACAGCCATCAGTGAAAAGCAAAATTGGCTTCTTTTCGAAACCACAGTTCAACTTACGGGGTTTCGCAGCTTGCAACATGCGAACAGCATATTCGCAAAAGGATCTCGCATCGCTTGGGGCCTTCTTGGACAAAGGCCCGCTCAAAGTTAACACCTCTGCACAAACTTGGTGAAGAAACCTTCCGCCGAAAAGGCCACAAGCATACCTCATCAGCCCATGGATAACCCACCTCCACCAGTTGCAAGACGTTCCGCTATGCAAAGAGCCAAGCCAGCTGTGTAATCAATGTCCTGGAGCTTCATGTCAGAAGACAGTGTACGCCTGATTCAACTGAGCTTCAAGACAATCATCAATTGGCCTCAGCTTCATCTCGGCGCCCTGGACCAGAACGAAACATCTCACCACACTCCAGTCTTCACGGCCCAGATGGGCCGAAACCTCGGCCTCGCTGTAGAAAGGGCCTTCCATGAAGCCCATTTGCAGCTCTTCAACTGCCGTTTGTTGCAAATGCTGACGGCCACCTTCCAACAACCGCTCTGCATCTTCAGGTCGAGAACGCTTGCAAACCCTCCAAAGTCAAGGTTGCAGGTTTTAACATTGCAGGGTAACAAGACGGTGGGTCATGCATCCCCACCAGCTCCACATCCTCTTGCATAAATCGTACCACAGCCAAGTCATCGTAGCCACACTTTTCCAACAGTGCATTCCATACCAGCGGTTTTTCCCTTCCAAAACATTATTTCTCCACAAAACCAGGATCGATTGAGACTAAGCCAACACTGGTGGTGGAAGTTTCAAATGTTAATTTGCAATCCATATAATTATATTAAATTATATGGTGTACCGTTGTGATGTAAGGTAAGCAGTATTCATGTAAATGTACCATTTACACAAATAAAACTTACTACAAAAAACGCAGTTGCCGACGCTTCGAAAAAGAGAACACAGGTGCACAACACTCGGACTTTATATTGATTTCCTTTTTGCTTCCAGTAATTGCACAGTCGGGGGTAAATCCAATGCCGGTCGTGGTTCCAGCTGATCTTGATGTAGGTGCATTGGATGGGTCATGATTCCATCACTGTCGAACGTTGACACGAAGTGACATGATGTCAAGTGTCAGAGCACCCGATAATTCCCATTTCCACAATTTTTGGGTGGGAGTGATAAACGGGGTGGGTGAAAAAATTGCCCCTTATTTTAAAGGGACTCCCGCCCTCCCACCACTTGATTGGGAAAAGTCACAGCATTACAAATGATGATGTGACGTGTGAAGGATGTGGTGTTTCCAATGGAATTGTTGAATACCACATCGAAAATTCAGAAATAGAAATGGGAAGTTGAACGCCAAATTGTTTGCTTCTAGATTTGGTTGGATGTTTCAACGCTTCGCAAACGTTTGTTTACCACCACCCAGAGAGATTCTTGTTGATCCTTATTTGTGAAGGTTCACAAATTTTTGTTTGGAGAAATAATGCTTTCATCTTTTTTCAAAAGAGTGACATCTTATTTCTCCACAAAACCAGGATCGATTGAGACTAAGCCAACACTGGTGGTGGAAGTTTCAAATGTTAATTTGCAATCCATAAAATTATATTAAATTATATGGTGTACCGTTGTGATGTAAGGTAAGCAGTATTCCTGTTCTCCATCACTTGGGCCAAGTCAATAATCTTCCAAGAAACGGAAACGCGCGCGAAACCTACGCAATTAAACTTAAACAACAAACCTTAAACAAAACTAAAACCCAACCAAAACTGCTCTCATTTGAAACGACATGAAGTGTAAATTGCAACTGGACATGAAATCAAATGTCGCAAACGATCATCCACTCTCTTCTTTTTTGTCGCGTGGATTTGGAACTGAATCTCTGAACTGATCCTTCAGATTGGTGGTGATATTCACCTGCATATGGAATCTGGCCTTGCGTCAGGCTCTGAGTAAAATTTCGTGCCCCCCTCTCAGTCCAAATCTTTCGAGGTGTAAATAAGAGCTCGGTGAATAAAAGCAAGAGAGTGGTAGCATCAAGAAGTCAGTGAATCCAGAAATGCACGTACCTGAGCCAACACTGTGGAAGGGTAGCCGAGCCCTTCCGCTTCTAAGTAGTCTTCACGCTCATCCAAGGAATGACGAAGTGCCCAAGGCTTCTGATGCAATAAAGTCAGAGTGGCATAGAGGTTCAGCATCTGAAATAATGGAGTCATTATCAAAGAGAAGAAGCCACCCGAAACAACCTGCGACGCCCGCCATGAATGAGAGGGCAGTGGCAGTAACAATATGGAAAACTGAAAGCCGGTGTTGCTGTCGCCGACAAAGGTCAGAGTACACGATGAAGCCCCGTCGGCTATATGAATGCAAAAATCACCTCAATTCACAGGGTATTGGGAGGGCGGGTGTTCAAAATTTTTCTAACCCTTGAACCTTCAGGCAACACGTAAACAATGAGTTGAAAGCTGAACTCTTCAAATGACATCTGACTGAACCTTCCCTCAGTGTTTTTTTTTGACATGGAATGAAAACACAAAACGACAACGAACAATGCGCAAACGGATCAGACACTCAATCACCAAACTGAAACTGTTCACAGCAGTAAGTGTTCTGTGTTCCTTTTTTTTTTTAAACCGCTGAACCTGACGTCTCAACCTATTACACCTCTAAACACGAACCCTGAAGAGAGCAACGCGGAGGAGAGGACACGCCAGCAGGAGGCAGCGAGCAAAGCAGAGGGAGCAAGCAGGAATCTAGAGACCAAGGGGCGAGATCCCCACCCAAGCCCCCCAGGGGCCAAGCGACTTCAAACAGACCCCACGGTGAACCGTGAAGGCCTGTTCTCCATCACTTGGGCCAAGTCAATAATCTTCCAAGAAACGGAAACGCGCGCGAAACCTACGCAATTAAACTTAAACAACAAACCTTAAACAAAACTAAAACCCAACCAAAACTGCTCTCATTTGAAACGGCATGAAGTGTAAATTGCAACTGGACATGAAATCAAATGTCGCAAACGATCATCCACTCTCTTCTTTTTTGTCGCGTGGATTTGGAACTGAATCTCTGAACTGATCCTTCAGATTGGTGGTGATATTCACCTGCATATGGAATCTGGCCTTGCGTCAGGCTCTGAGTAAAATTTCGTGCCCCCCCGTAGCGAGGGGCCTGACACTGAAACTGACCCTCACCACTGGGTTTTCTCAAACTTCGCATTTCCAACATGTTTTGCAAACTTTCTGAGTGAGCCCTTGTCCAAGAACTCATGCCTCACCTCCCACAACTGTTGCAGAAGGCTGAAATCAAAGTCTTCCCACTTGCATTCCACGCGCAGGTTCGCATCTACCTGGCTGAAGTCTTCATTGGTAAGCTTGTCTGCCAAGTCGTTTTCAGCCCGGGGCCGCCAACGCAGTTCCAACCTCAACCCCCAACGCATGAGCTGATGCGTCACCTGCATGTTGACCAAAGCTAGTGGGAACTTCGCGGAACTACCCTTCTGAAGAAGGGCCCCATTCCACTGATTGTCCGTGCCTGCTGCCAGGTAGATTGGAACTGTCATTCTTTCTCTTCCTTCTCCATAGTTAAACAAAAACCAGCGCCACCGTAGTAGCCAACAACTCCGCCGGCGCGGATGCCCAACTGCCTTCACCGTCCGGCTTGAACAGGTATGGCGCCTGCTCAGGCTCCAAACGCAAAGAAAACCAACGGCCCGTGGCCATGTGGTGTCTACCCAAAACGACAACCCCTTGAGCGCATTTTGCGTCTGCCCTAAACTGTTCCTCCAGTACATGTACAGGTCGGTGGCATGAGTACATGAAACTGCAGTCCGCCAGCTGTATGGCAATGAACTTGAGGACCACGACCACCATGCGTGGTGCCGTGGCCACCGTTCCTTTGGCCAGGGCGGCCGCCCAGCTATATAGTGGCGCCAGGTGTGCCTTCAGCCAAACAAGGACTCGGGCCAAGAAGGCCAGTCTTCCAAGGAATTCCCCAAAACGGGCGCATGTGTACCGTGTAGCGGGCTTCCTCCATCTCCTTTATAAAGTTCAGCAACCAAGGGCCTCGCCTGGCTGTCACACCCATTTTGCAGCGCCCATAGTCAAGCTGAAACCCAACAAAGGTTACTTCTATCCCCCCAGCAAACTTCGCATACTGGAAAGGTGTACCCAGGGCCTCGTAGGCCGCAAGTATCATCCACACCGTCAAGAACTTGCGTTCTCCAAACCACTACATGCAAATCATCCACGTATATGAGCTGGTAGTTGTATTCCGTCCCCATCGCATTACCAACCAGCCTTCCAATGGTTCCCATGAACCGTGTCCACCAGTAGGAGGCGCTAGAAACGCCAAAGGTCCCCAACCTTGTTGACCCAGATGATATCTGAAGTTGAAGAAGCTTTGCAGCAAATGAGAGGGTGATCCCTATTCCGCAGTTTTACCAATCGGTGCGCCGACTTGATATCGGCTGAAATAGAAAACATGGCCTCCTTCGTCTCTGTCACTTCCCGTATGACGCCGGCCGCGTCTTCTGGCCCAGGGTATTGCAATTGGTCTCTGAAGACTATTCTGTTGTTAAGTTGAACATGGTGGGTTGCATCATGTATGGGACGGATGTCACCATTGGGTTTTTGTATGGCCCCCATGGACGCCACCAGCACTTCCCGGTCAGGGTGTTTGGCCTTCAAGGCCGCTAATGTAGTTGGGTACACTCTTCCCAGCTGCTCTTCTTCTCTGAATTTGTTTTCCATCTCCTCTGCCACCAAGTCTGCTGACTTGTAGTTTTCTGAGAAAGGCGTGTAGTCTGAGTCATCCAGCTTGCGGTGTTTCCCCTTAGGCGGGAATACCGCCGGAACTCGGGGCAGCGGCTCATCCAATCCAACCGGAACGCCCGTTGCAAATGACTCTCCGTCTTGTACCAGCACTCGATAGTCAGGGTCTTCCATGACTTCCAGCGTTTGTGCCAAAAGGTGAAGGAAGAACGGTTGGCCTTCCGGGAGTTCCATGGCGCTAGCCGGAGATGGCAGCAACTGGGCCCAGCCTTCTCTAAGTTTCTGCAAAGCCTTTTCTGAACACGGTGAGCCCTGTAGCCTCCTTCCTAGGTACGCACCTCAATCTTAACCACCAATGGCTTTCTTCTGTTGCGAGCCTCTTCCGACCCACCTTGAGTTGGTTGTTCATTGGTGTCTGAATCGACAGTCACAGCCTCTGGTGGTTGGCCTGGACCATCTGCCGTCTTGGTGGTTGCCTGTGCTGGACCTGTTTCTGTAAGAGTCCCGGCAAGAGAGCTATCTGCAGCTGTGGTGGTTGTAGGCGTTGGCCCATCGTCTGAAAGAGCCCCAGCAGGAGAGCCGAGTGAAGAGGCCTGTGCGCTCCCCACCCGGCTGGCGATGAGCTCGGCAAGGTACTTGCAAAGCGCCGGGGTAAGCGGCTGAACCCTCGGTGGCCCATTTTCCGCTTGGCAGTTGGCCCAAAAGGCGCTTGGCATGCATATTGTGGCCACCAGATGTGGGCAAGGGGCCCAAGTATTGTCGCCCCTCGTCGAACACTGGCCAGGTGGCGTGCGGAAGCTCCTGGCATGCTTTGAGTGTAGAAAGAAACCTGGTTGGTTTTGGCGATGGCGCGTCAAAATGACACTGGAAAACTGCCCAAGTTGTAGCTTTTGTGACCTGCTGCAGCTGTTTCATTGTTTCCCACTACCCGATGCTAGCGGGCCACTCACCATGGCACGCCCCCAGATCTTCTGGGTGCTCGATATGAAAATCTGCATTGCACTGGAAACACTTGTGTGCAGTGGTGATGGTCTGGTCCACCAAATAGTTGTGGTCCTGTACCAGCTGTAGATTTGATCCTGTAAGCCAGGGAAAGCCTCGAGGCCAGTTGAAATTGCGATGTGGCTGTGGGCCGGGCGAGGTTTCCCAGTTGAAATGTACCCTGCTAAAGGCGTTGCATGGTGGTGACATCACTACCACGTCCCATAATCCAGCTTCCAGTTCCTGATTTTTTTTTCCAAAGCTGACTGTTTAACAGACCATGCAAAGTAAATTTGTTCTCCAAGCCAAACTCCTGGAGGCAGTGCTTGACGTCTTTCCCTTCCTGTTGTCATAGGTGTTGTTGAAGGAACGTTGACCGCCAGGACGAGCTGGGTCATGATTGGTCAAGGCCAAGGGGGTAGTGAAGTACGACTCCTTGAGCTCGGCATCTTTTGTCACCGCCTCCAATGCCTCTGCCAATGTCTTCTCCCCTTTGTTGACCAGTTTGAAGGCTTCTCGTCTAAGGCGTTGCTCAAATTGGAGCACCAGGGCAAAAGGTGGACGCAAAGATTGCTGCATCCCATCCACGGGCACTTTGATCCCGTGAACCTTCTCCCCCAGGATGAACTCCACAAAGCGGTTGAAGTCCTCCTTTTCAAACCTGCCAAGAAATGCTTCGATTTGAATTTGGACGACATACAAAGCCATGTAGTGGCCTCAAGCTTCATAAGTCTTTGGTACTCTTCTGTAGTCTCTGGAAGCCGGCCTTTGGAATTTGTCTTGGTAGTCCGCACATGGCCTGTGCTGTCCAGTGATGTCTGAAGTGCTGAAGTGTTGCGGTCGGCCTTCGATGACACTTCATCCAAGCTTGCTGCAGTACACTCTCCATTTTCACACTCTTCAACCTTCAAAGCAAGGTACTCTGCACTGGGTGTTTCGTGGTCAGAAAGATGGCCCAAGACCTTTTCGACCGCTTTCAGCATCGCCAATCTCTCGCTGTGTTGGAGGTGACGGGGTACCCCAAGCACTTTGCTCTCAGCTTGGATCTCCTTCTCTTTGGTGTAAAGCTCTTCTCCTGCATTCCAAGCTGCTACCACCTGTGCGACCTGTGCCCTCATGGCTGGGTCTCTGGCCGGGTCCAAGTTGAAGTCTGCTTGGACTGCTGTCCTCACATCTGCAGAGTTTTCCCCCAAGGCTGTGAAGACCCTGAGCGACTTATAGTGCTGGGCCATATCATATTGTAGTGCTAAGGGGGGATCTCAGCATCATCCCAAACATATTGAAGGTCGGAAGTGACGTTACTTCGCGGAAATTCCCTGCGATCATCATCTGTCACTGCCATCGCTGAGACTGAAGCTAAAGCTGAAGTGTCTCGAGTTGTTACCCGTCGTTGAAAACCAATGTGCGAAGAGGAGAAGGGAGAATGCCGAGGACGCGGGACAAACCAAACTGCCTACAAATAAACTTAAATTCATGCCACCTGCTTGTAACTGAAATCTTTCCCTTTCTGACTCTGAGCCTCAACGACGAAATAAATATACTGAGATCCCTTGTTTTGTGTATTTTCCAAACTGTCCTTTCTCTGCTGTTCTTAATCGCCGTGCTTGAAATTTCTCTTCGCTCTCTTGGAATCAAATACGTGAAGAGGAGAGGGGGAGAATGCCGAGGACGCAGGACAAACCAAACAAATAAATAAGCCAAACCGGATGCGTTTTCACTGAAGCGTAAACGACCTGTTGGTCGATTTGCCCAAGGCCAATGCGCCTTTGGCGCCTGTGCCCTATTGCCCTTCGTCAGTTACTGTGGCTGACATGAAACTTAAACTGCAATGCAAAGCATCCTAAGCAATCTGTCTGTGACAGCACGTTTTGCCAATTGCAAACATGGTGAAAACAAGGTGAAAGCCACTCCTAAACCAAAGGTTGCCACTCCGATGCCTCTTCAGCCTCGGCCTCGTCTCCAGAGGTGTTCGTCGAGGAAGAATCACCTGAGTCACTTGAAGCATCATGGTCAGTCGTCATGCGACCCAACTCTTCTGAAACCCTACGTTGACATACCTTGCAAGTAGCATCATAGGCTGCATCCTGAACATTGTCAACATCAGTGGAATCAATGCACCTGTCTGAACGCACTGGACATTTCCCGTGCATGTGTAATCTTCTGGAACCTGTCCTCCTCGAGGTCGTAATGAAATAGCCCACCGGGGCCTGTCTATCACCTGCCTCTCGCTGCACTGCTTCCATGACCTGTTGCTTCTCCTGGGCATCGACCTGTTCAACATCCAAATCAAATGTGTTGAAAACCTCATCAGCATTGGCCCTCCTGTAGTCATGTGTGTGGCGTCTCCTGACTCTTTGACCTACCAATTCATGCTTGTCTGCAAAGTGCATGATATCTTCCAGCAACTCTGATTCATCTAAAACTGGGGCGCCCAACACGATAGCATCCCTGACCAAGTGTTGAACCTCTTCCACCACTTGGCGTGATGTGTGCAAGTAAGCATTGCTTCCTGTCCGTCCTATGGACCACCTGCCAAGAAAGTCACGTTTTGTTTTGTCTACCCCTAACGAGGTCGCTGCCTGTGTCAAATAATGACGTGGGCTATGGCCTGACCAGAAAAGCAGCATGGCACCTGGCACCAAATCCATCGCCTGGTTCTGACGCCAATATCCATCTTGAAAACGTGTTGTTCCCAATCTTCCCAAAACAATCCTAAAATAGTTTGCCATTGCAGGTGGTTCCAAAATCTTGTTCTTGAACACGGTCCAGTCCCTACCGGGTGTTGGTATGAAATAATCCTGGGGAAACATGAGGTCTTCACGTTGCAGCATCTGAAAACCTTCGATGAGCCAGTCATATCCAGAAACTGTGATGTCTCTGGCCACAAATGCACAAATGGGCCCATGCAGTTTGGCCCCTCCTGTTGTCTTTGTCCTCGCCATCCTGAGCGTTAAGCCGCGATTGCTAAGCCTGACAGTTTCGGGCATGACATTCTGCAAATCGTCCACCCTCCTAGCAGCCCAGGTTGGAACCAACATGCACCATGCAATTAACCGCAAACAGAATTCATGGTCCATCTCAATGACAAACAGCTCAAGTGCCAAAAGAACGGCTGTTGTGTAAGGCTTTGCCGCCTTCGGAAATGAGTTCGTTGCCAACTCCTGTTTCCAACTTTCAATATGTGCCTTCCACAGCGGTTCCCTGGACGGTTGTTTGCTGTCCGGTATCCGTCCAGCCTGTTCTAATACAACCATGGCAGCCTGAAACTCTGAAATAAAACTGTATGTCACCCCATTTTGAATGTGCTCCTCAACGTAGTGTATCAAGACATCCAAACCACCTGGCCAAGTCTTGCCTGAGTATGCCACCAGCCAAGTACGAAAACGATTCCATGACCTGTATCTGTTCCTCGAGGTCTTTGAACGCCGGGCACCAAACAGTTGTAGCCAGGCCTTGTTCGGGCCCTGAGGTGCCGCTATCTGGAGACTCACCGGCAAAACGGCTTCCTGTAAGATGCCTGCCAGTTCCAGTGCATATCTATCCCTTTCTTGCTGCTCTTTGGCTGCTCTCGTCTCGAGACATTCCCCCGATGAAGACCTACGTTGGGAGCGTTTCACTGTGTCCAACATAAAACGGGGGTCTTCCTCCATGATCTGCTCAAAGGTCTCTTGCACCGTGCCGATTGTATCCCGTTTGGGATGTGCACGGAACTCGAAACTAAGTTTGCAGTCAAGGATACGCTGTCTTTTAACCTGTGGCCCATACTCAGCTTCTCCTATACCACAACCAAAGTCTGTATCCCAATAAACCCTCTCAACCCTTATCGCGTCCTGATCCTACGCAAGCGCATACGTATCATACGTGGGGTATATAAAAATATAAACACGAAACATACCCTCACATATACGCAAACCAAAACAAGAACCCAAAAACCACAGTGAGCATCCAAAAACTGAGTCTGACATGTCTGAACACTGCAAGTGGCTTCAACAACATCAAAATCATCACTGCAAAAATCACAAAAACTGAACATGTGGAAAACGGTGGATTTGATGCACTCGGTCGCTTCGCTTTTTCACGCCTTTGCGTTGAATGATCCGGGGTTAAGTTTCAAGTAGCCACGTTCGCACAAGGGTGCTAGCTGCTTGGGTAGGTTCAAGTCCATTCTGGCAACTGGATGCTATCTTGAGATAGCTGTATGGATTGTTTTCCAGCTGGACTGCAAGATACCCCCCTGATATGGGATTTTCGGGTGGGAATTGATAGGGTGGGACAGGAAAAGTCCCATAGCAAAGAAATGAACGACGACCCTCCCACCACACCCTTAAACATGAGTGGCTACACAGAAACAAATAGTCATCAGATCTAACAGTTTCAGATATATCTTTGATACTCTGACATGACAACCCAGCATGTGCAATTCTTTCTGAAAGATTGCAGCTGTCAAATTAAAACTTGAAAATAAAGATTTCAACGGTTTGGATTTCAACTGTTTTGGGTTTCATTGTTTGGTTTTCAGGTTTGCGCAGGCGTGTGTAGAGGACGCGTAAGGAAAGGTAGAGGAAGAGAGAATTAGGTATACAGACCGGACTATACCTAGTATAGTCCTGTTTGGGTGGCTAGAGAGAAAGTACTGTCAGCTCGCTGAAATTCCCTTCTCCTATACCACAACCAAAGTCTGTATCCCAATAAACCCTCTCAACCCTTATCGCGTCCTGATCCTACGCAAGCGCATACGTATCATACGTGGGGTATATAAAAATATAAACACGAAACATACCCTCACATATACGCAAACCAAAACAAGAACCCAAAAACCACAGTGAGCATCCAAAAACTGAGTCTGACATGTCTGAACACTGCAAGTGGCTTCAACAACATCAAAATCATCACTGCAAAAATCACAAAAACTGAACATGTGGAAAACGGTGGATTTGATGCACTCGGTCGCTTCGCTTTTTCACGCCTTTGCGTTGAATGATCCGGGGTTAAGTTTCAAGTAGCCACGTTCGCACAAGGGTGCTAGCTGCTTGGGTAGGTTCAAGTCCATTCTGGCAACTGGATGCTATCTTGAGATAGCTGTATGGATTGTTTTCCAGCTGGACTGCAAGATACCCTCTTTTCAACTCAGGCCAGCTATTTCAAACGTCTGACAAGCTCCTCAGGGTGCTGAAACTCAGTTAGTGCATCGATTCCAAGGATTGTCAAGGCTTCAGCACTATTGTGACGAGATGGCCCATCAGAGATATTTGATAGGCTCGGCACCCTCTCAATCCAGCTGTAGGACGGGCTGTCAGCGTCGACAGCGTAGAACTCGCGCACCAAATCCCTCATGGATGGGCTCGCACTTTGGCCCTTGATTGTACAGTAACGCGCTGCGTCATTGTCAACCCACCAGATGGAACGCCCGTTGTGTAGGAGGGATCTGAACTGCCACCTGATCAACACCATCACGTAAAGCTCTATCTGGCATATCAGGTGATCCCCCACCAACACTTTCCACTTGTCCAGCAGCACATCCGGGACACATCCCTGGCAAACAAAGCCTTGCCCTGTGGCGGCATCAAGCACCACTGCACCAATGCCTGCAAAGTTCTTTTCCCAGCAGCCATCTGAGAAAATTAAAACAGGGGTCTTCTCAAAGCTGACATTGATACACCACGGTTTCGCCGCCTGTAACATGGCCACTGCGTAGTCGCAAAACGACGCAACTTCAGCCGGGCCCTTGCGACCCCCAACTCCGCTAATGGCCAACACTTCTGAGCTGACCTGCTGCAAAAACTTTCTACTGAAGAACCCACAGGCATAGCGCATCAGCCCATGGATCACCTGGCCCTGATGGCCCTGATGGCGGGTCATCTGGCCGTCTGCACGGATCTGTTGAAGAAGCGCAACCAACCTGTCGATCCGTCCTGGTTTATTTTCCAGCCAGAAATAACCCTGGTCCACCTTGCCCAGGTCCAACATGCAGCCCAGCACTTGAAACTTTGGCTGAAACGGAAAAGCCTTAGTGCCAGTTTTGGCATGCTTCCAGCCCAACAGATCCAGCAACTCGCTGGCGGCAAAGTCGGCGTCACTCGCCAGGCCACTGGGAGAAAACATGGGGAAGTCGTCGAAAAAGACCCCGCTGGGTATGACCAACATCTTGTTGAAAAGGAACCACAAACTCCTTGAAACCCTGTTGAAACTGTATACTGCAGCCGTTGATCCAAACATAAGGGAGTTGGCCACATAGAACTTGGGGCGGCCGTCACTGTCGTGATAGAAAATGACTGCCAGGTGTCTGTCACTGGGGTGGACCGCAAGTTGCTTGTATGCCTTGCTAAGATCCAAGCATTTTCCAACCCAAGGCTCAACTCCTGGGCCCTCTGTCGACCCAGCCAAGCGCTCAGCTATTCGGAGAGCCAAGCCAGCAATGTAGTGAATGTCTTGTAACTTCAAATAAGAAGACACTGTGAATGCATGGTTGATTTGAGCCTCCAAGCAATCGTCAATGGGGCGCAGTTTCATCTCTGCACCTTGAACAAGCACAAATCTTCGGACCACACACCAGTCGCTTCTCCCCAGGTAGGCCGTCACCATGGCCTCACTCTCAAATGGCCCTTCAAGAAAACCCAATTGCAACTCCTCCAAGGCCGTCTCCTCCAAATGAGCCACATGTGCAGGGTCAGAAGTGCCTACCCGGCCAACAATCGCCTTGCGGCGCCAGACAGAGGAGGAAGTAAGATCCTCTGCCACTAGAGTGGCTGGCCTCAACATCTGCGGATAGCACGCTGGGGCATCATGTCGGCCTACCAGTTTCACCCCTTCCATCATGAAGGGTACAACTCCCATGTCGTCATACCCAAATTTCTCCAGCAAGGCCTGCCAAACAAGCAGCTTCTTCCCCTCGAGGACCTTCTGCAGTGGAGGCGGCAAAGACGCATGCAACCTGCTTTCTTCGTCCGCAAGCTTCACACTCAACAGTTTTGCCTGAAGCAGGTTTTTCCTCCGCTCCAACTTGACAACATGCTCTGGATAACGAAAATTGAAATCAAGTGCATATTTTGTCACCTCCTCCAAATGGTCAACTGAATCCATAGGGTGGTTCGCCTTCTTGGCCATGGAAAGAAACTGCTTGGGGGTATGATAAATACCAAACTTGACTGTATCAGCACTGCTTGCTTTCTCCATGCCAGCCCCAATCTCCTCCTCGTGCCCTACTTCCCCTGCAAAGTGAGGAGGAAGAATCTTTGACCCTCAGGTTGGGGTGTACCAGCTTTTGCAGAGACAATGCGATGGTATTCCGGCACAATTGGGCGGTGCTTTTTCGATTGCTTACCCTGCACTGCGACCGACTGGTCATGCAACCTCAACTGCTTTGTCACCGACAGCCCTTGAGCATGGCAAAAACGCAGCAAACACTCTGTGGCTCTTTGCGCAAGCAAGGCAGGGTAATGGGCTTCTGTAGATGTATCGAAAACCCAAGAGCCAGACTGCCATCGCACTCCCCAAGGTTCATGGCTGTGATCGTTACGACATGTCGCCTCCAATGCGGCGTAGACACCCGCTGTAGAAAGCCAGCCTGTATGCTTTCTCCTGGCTGATCCATGGCAGCATGCATGAAACTGTATCATCTGCAAAAGGTTCAAGGCGTGTGCTGCCTCTTCTGAGTGTTCCCGCGCCACCTTGACCAGCACTGCCCACAACCAACTGTTAGCTGGGTTCTCTATGCTGATCACGATACCTTTCCGATAACACCAAAGTATTATGTCAACTGCAAGCTTGTACAAGGCATTCGCACTGTCAACTCTGGCTTGGTGCTTGGCACTAAGGTTTGGTAACCCTAATGGGTATTCTGCCGATCGAAGTGGTGGAGGCTCAGGCACTCCAGCTAGTCTCAACGCCCTCGGCAAGGGTAATTCCCTAGCCCTGCTACTTGTCCCGCAGGGCAAGCCTAGAT